GACTATAATTTAATTACGGCCATTTATCAATGCACGGCGTTTTAGATTCAATGTGAACGTAAATTAAACAAATTTCACACATCGCCTCATGACATATTTTTATCTAAAAACAATTTCAGTAGGCGTAAAATTTTACGGAACTCATTTTATTGTCCTGATAATTCAAGAATAACGTCTTGTATAGTTAACAGAAAACTTCAAATTTGGATAGTACGTATAGTTTGATAAAAGTGATTTTTGTGATATTGAATCTGTCATAACAGCGATGATGAAACACTATATAAATGACTGCGGGCAATCAAAACAGGTGATAGTGCGTGAGGTTTCCAAACCCACATTTTGCCTGCAGAGGTGTTGTCATTGTCTGTATACCGAAAACACCAATAGCGCCGGAGGTCTTCAAGGTCAGGTGACCCATCTGTTTAGTTGCCAACCCTTTCGAATAAATGCTCATACCATCTACAGCATAGATGGTAAATATCGGCACGTCAGGTACTGATTAATATAAATATTCTACCTTTTTTACGGAAAAAAGGAGGCAAACGAGCAAGCTAGTCAACTTGTGGTCAGCGATCACCGTCGTCAAGCGCAGCATCGAAGGATTGCGTATTAGATACGTCGTACGAATTGCGTACTAGATACGTCGGACCTACCGTCGGTGGTCCTGCACTACACCCACAGTATAAATGAAACAAATTTTACGGATTTATCGCGTTTATGTTTAATTTTAATTCCCGACGTTTCGAACTCTTTATGCGTTACAGCGTTCATGGTCACGGGACAGACTGAGGTGTTAGACGTCTGATTGTCATAGTTAACCCGGGCTACCGTCAGTTTATGATTATTTTTTTTGGATTTTTTAATTTTGTGTCCGATCTATCTAGAGGGAACTAATTGGACCTTGTCTTGCAATAGTGGTTCGTTTGGGCCTAGATTTAATTTTATTGATGACTACACCCAAAGCTAGTTTAACAAAAAATACAATAGTTCGCCCTTGCCTCCGAGCAAGGCCAACACAACGCGTACACAAGGTACACCCGCGGTCCAGGGCAGATCTCACCGCCCCCAGGCACCGATTAGCTAAAAACACGGTCGACTGCTATCGGGGTCCCGTTCCGAACCGCAACCTCGATGGCCCTTAGATGACATACCATAGTTAAACGCACGCATGAGCACATGCGCGGCCCTACCCACAGCGGAGGGCCCAAACCCGTGGGTTCTGGCTAGCCTACCGGTTCTGCGACAGATGAAGCTTTAATAATCTCGGGACTGAAAGCAAAAACATTAGTTAATACAAGATACAATTGCGTACTTCCAATCTGATTCCCACATCTACAACACACGCAATGGCTCCATCGGATGGACGTCATAACGAACGGCTCAATCAGACCCAAACAACAAACAATAGGGGAGCTGATGCAAATGTTTCCAATTAGAATCGTCGCTTAGCTCTGAGCGCCAGGAGAAATGCAAAGAAGAGACGAATTCAATTCAAAACGAGGCCCGTCTATTCCGCCGCACCGCTCAGGCCCGCGTCGATCTGGGCCGAATTGAAAAAGAGGAATGAGAGAGAGAAAAAAAATCTACGAGCGGAATAAATAAAAATAGAGATCCCGCTACAGCGCAAGTCGCCGTTGAAATGGAAATAAAACAGCAAAAAGCTTTTTGTGGACGAAATAAATTAAAAAGTGTGTCGCGCCGTGAGCAACAAAACGTCGCCTAGTGGCGTACTGTTATGAGAGTTGTGTGCAGTCTAAATTTATGTGTGTACTATGTATATTCTACTAACGACCAATAAGCATACATTAAACATGATTGGAAATAGATTTGACAAATCAAAATGTTTAAATCAATACTACTTTTAAATCACAATCAATTTAAATATTTGCGTTTGTCACAACTATTGGAGAGATTTTTAGAGATTATTAAAACTATCGGATTACGTGAAGGAACTGTTTCAATCGATATCTTCAAATAGTTTCGTGCGAGATCATAATGCTCAGTCGGTTCGCTGAGCATTAGTGATGTGCACTAATTATTTATCGCTATCCCCGTTTCCTTGCGAAACTTTGATGCGCGATCACTTGGAACGCACACTGAACTTTTCGCAGTTAATGCATCCGAAAACAGTAGGCATTCATAACGGTCGGGGGAAAGTTTTACCTAAATTATATTTGTGGGTCGTCACGCTTTTCCGGGGGTGCGACGCGAGGGGCGGAGCAGGGGCCGATTAGAAGGGTCCTTTGTGAGCTCACCGTAGGGAGCCGTATTCATAGTGGCTTGATTGACATCAGCTTTGATTAAAAGCGATTGATGAAGGCTATGTTACTTAGCAACGGAGACGACACGCGTTCCTAATTGGATTCCCGTTCCACTACTTGCTAAGCATAACATCATTAATTGACATTATTTGTTTAACTGTAACTTTATTAATAAAAAATGTTTTCGATTAATTGATTTAGTTTTAAACTATGTATAATAATATGTTTTTATTTGATTTATTTTTCCACATCGCATTTTGATAAAAACATTCTTAAAAGAGTTCTTTTGTTTATTTTAAATGATCGAAACAAAACGTACAAGGTGATAAGGACAGAAGGAATTTTTTAGATAAAAACACAGACTAATGGTAAGCAAAACCAGCCTTCGAATCATTTCTCATACAGGTTACCTTTTTTTTTTTTTAATAAAACTGGACTTTTGTAAAAGAGAAATTCTGTTTTTTTGTATCTGGGTTATAACATGACACAACGATCAAATAAGGTCTGCACGGAAAGTAGTCTAAAATGTATCAAAGCCAAATAACTTGTTTCAGTTTATAGCGCTTGTTGCTATTAGCGGTTGTATGTAAACAGCTTTTCCTAACAAACATTTCTGAGTTTTGTAACGTGACTGTATTGAGAACTTTATTCGAAACGTTTCACAATAAATATTCACAGGAAACGACGAATTATTTATGACGGATGGAAGTGATTTGTGTATATTAACATTATCTAGCTCCTTGGATATCAAGGAAAATTACAGACAACGTGGACTTGTAAATTACAATCCTAGTACATTTATGTCACGTTTTCTCACACAAAATTTATGATATTTCAAAAAAATACCGCACAGTTTTCCGGCCCCGTAATGCCAAATAATGCCAAGGACTCGACTAAAAATACCGGTCTGTTGTAATCCGGTCGCCACTTAAGTTGCGGGGGCAATCGCGGTACGCGTTTCTAACATCTACGTAGTTTTCTGTATAAAAGTAAAGTTGGAATTACACCATCCCTTAATGTACAATAAAGTGCTATTATTCACTCAAAAGAGTTTCGTTTTCACGTCTGCTTCATTACATAGTATAAAGCAAAGTCGTCCCGTTGTCTGTTCGTCCCTATGTATACTTAGATCTTTAAAACTACGCAGCGGATCTTGATGGGGTTTTTACTAGATAGATACTAGATAGATATATGTATAATATACATTGCACCCGTGCGAATCCGAGGCGGGTAACTAGTGTTCTATAAGTCCTAATAAGTTCAAATTCAATATATACAAAGGCATAATAACGGATGCTTCTTATTTTAATAGCAAATAAAATGATAAATAATATAATATAATTATATTATTTATCATTTTATTACATACATATAATAAGTAAATTGAGTTGCGGTAATTTCACGACCGTTTTATTGAGTGTCGTAAATTTTACCATCGTTCAAAGATTGTTTATGTTCATTGCTTAGTGTCCTTCGATTGCGATAAAGCGAGCAATTGAAAATATTGGGGCAGGTGTTAAAGCGGAAATGTTAAAATTTTTCTACTAATGATGTGTAGAAAATGCTTTCAATTCATACTTGTAAGTATAACTGGATGTCACATAAAAATTATGTCAGTTGCGTTTATTTTCGTTCAGAGCGTAAAAACAACTTTTAATAATTGCCATTTATAACCCAATTAAAGGTTCGATTAAAAGTCTGTAGTCAAAGTCAGAAATCTTATATTTACATTTATAGAAAACTATCTGACATTTCAATTTAGAACAGGACAATATTGAGAAACCGTGGAAACGTCAAAACGATAGACGTTTCGAGAAATCTATGACATTGAAAAGTCCATTTTCGATTTGCGACCAATAAATACAGTGCAACGCCCATGGCCTTTATTTTTATTCCGTTATGTTTCATTTAGCTCTCTTGGTCTACTCAGGCTTTGTTAGTTGATATGTCAGCTTACAATTGTAAGGAATGCTTAAATTTAATTGGGAGAGAGCCTGCGTAAAGGCTTCTTTCCACGGACCTCTTTACTATATAAAGGCTAATCGGTCACTCGATCTGCCGAAACGCTACGTGGTCTCGGGATTGAACGAATTAAGGTCGAACAACAACAAGGTGAAGTACAACATCAGCCCGAATAAGCCACGAGACCCTGAGTAAAGGCCAGAGGTGTCGCAAGAAAGTTTCCAAGGGCACTTTGAGGCCGTGGGAGGCCAGCATTAAGATTAACGGAAAAACATAATATATTAGAATTTTATACTATTATTATTACGTTTTTATATTTAAAATGTTCCAAAAAGTTTTGACTACCATTAACTGTGAAAACTATGTTATGTTGTTATCATAGTTGTTTTGACGATACCGACGTTACTTTGTATAAACTTACAGCTGAATAAAGCAGCGTTAAGTCACTCCCGAGAATAGCGGTGAATCAAGCAACTAACCAAAAGCAGTAAGCAGGCACAGAATCAAATTACTGTGACCGCAAATGCGATACGCTTACAAGTGCGCAAGACTACGCCCAAGCTTAGCTGCCTGTTGAAAGTTTCCTTGGACGACTAGCCAAGATAGTAGTATAATCATCGTCATTTCCAAGCGCAAGACACATACCTTGGCGAAGGGTGGCTATAGGGCATCGACTAAAGGACCAGCTTGAGCGGATAGGGGCTAGCCAAGACACTAGTATAATCATCGTAATTTCCGAGTGCAAGACACTCCGACATACCACGGCGAGGGTGGCTATAGGGCATCTGAAGGGCCAGAGTGCATAGGCCAGCCTAGGGCCGGGGCCGCGAGAAAGTTTGTGGGGGGCGCGCGGGGTGGGGGCGCGAGGGGCGCGGGGCGGCGTCGCGGCGGCGGCGGCGGCAGTGCGCCGCGCGCGGCCGACGCGCCGCCCGCCCAGTCGCCGCCCGCCCTCGCCGCGATGCCGTCCGCCCGCGCGCCCCGCGCCCACTGAGACCGCGGCGCACCGATCGCGAAACTGAATAAGTTCGACAAGTCCACCTCATACTTGGACCACTACATTGACCCGTGACAGTGACCGTCGACCGTTCGACCCCCCGTTCGCCCCCAGTACAAAGTTCTACATTAGAGAGTTGTTATTAGGTATTTTTTTAAAAGTACAAAAAGAAAAAAAAATAAGTTTGTATCATATTAGCGTCACAGTAGTAGCGTCTTTAGGTACATACGAGTAATACAGGGTCAGTTTGTATGTAATTCAATGTGATTGTAGTTTAAGTCGACGTGATCGCCACCGTACACACCGCGCTAGTTGACGCGAGTGACTTTAGGTAAGTTGTTACTTATAAAGCGATCAATAAAGCGTGCATATAAGTAATAATATACACCATTCTACGATACCATATTAAAAAATATAGGGGTTTTACACAAACAAGACACTGACAACGGTAAAACAAACAAATTATTATATCGCAGACAGCATTAAGCGCTGTCTCATAGGCTACTTTCATTCGCGAGCTCAAATATGCACATTCCCCCGCGAAAGACTAGATAGGGTATGATTTAGCGCCATAGTGCACACTAAATCAAGATAGGCGGCGCGTAGACAGAGAGACAAGACTTCTGCGCTCGCAATCCGCGAATTGTTTGTCCCGAGCCTAACAACTTAAATTTAGCCCGACGCCGCCCGTAAATCGCGCCCGGCGATTGTTTTGAACGCATTGAAACTTAGCAGCCGACCGCCGCCGCGCGTAACGTTTACGCGCCGAAAGTTTGATTAATCGCTCGCATTCGGGCCCAACCGTTAGCGGTTCCACCGAGCGTGTTGCAACCGCACAAATTTCACGATAGCACACGTACCACCTCTCCGCGCAACCGAACCAAGGTCCAATTTCCATAACGCGTTCTCGAAAACTATTTCGATACGTTCGCGCGACAAGCGGAAGCAATGTTTTCTCTTTATTCGGCAATAAATAGTTACGGACGCAACGATTGCGGATGTCGCAACTTCATATTTTAATCGAGACATGTAGAATTTCTCACACACCAGCTAATCTACAGTTTAATGTTACACATTCGGGCCTCCGCGGGCCCATGGGAAAATCGAGACGCGGAGAAAAAATGGAAATACAACCGCGTTATCTCGCATACAAAACAAACAATGAGATTCGTCTCCCCGTTTCTCTGAGCTTGTGGAATAATTTTACCCGCGCGCGTCACCCTTTTATCACGATAACGATTTATTTGACATTACTTTTATCAGAAACTACAACAAGTGATCATTAAATTCGACCTCAAAAACTTACGTTATCATAATGTGTTTTCGAGCTTTAAAACAGCAAAAGCAAGAACTTATTGTTTCCAAGACACGGTGCTGATACAAATAAGTACTCCATTGTATTAACGGAAAAAATGGACAAGCAAAAATTAAAGGCATAATAAATCAAAATTCTAAGTTTTGTACGAAAGATACAAAGGAATGGAGACGAGTTTTGTTTTTACCGCGTGGCCCTAACGGAACATTGCATTGCGTACGAAAGACCCTTAAACGGTAACAATATTGGTTCCTGAATGGCATTGCGCAAGAGGCCTATTATCTTGTTTTTGTCGTCAAATTTACGTGGACACCGCTTATGCTAACTTGAAGTCCCTATTCTCATGGGGTGGCCGGAGAAAGCCGATGTTTTGTTCATATTGTAGAGGAATGGATCAGTTTCTGTTATTGAATTTTTATGTTTTCTTGTACGTTGTAAATACATTGCAGGAATAATTTTAAACATCAATTAAACTATGCCTATACCCGAGTACCGTGTATATGCAACGTCCGAGCATTTAATTGAAATGTAATATATACTGTACATTATATTCTCGTGGAATCTGGCTTTTTAACGAAGCTTTAATAGTCCAACGTCAAAATTATAGAAGTGTGAAATCAACAGACTGAAAGTAAGAACACAATAATGTATCATAAATTATATACAGGTTGTTATATAAAAAAATACTTTGTTGATATTTGCCGTCGTCATGCTATAAAGAAGACTAAAAAATCTTTCTATGGATTTTTGCCACTTAAGTTTTGTTTTGAATCTTGATAGGTTAATGTTCTTTATACTTATAGTATTTGATTATAATTATTTCCTATAGTTAACAATGTTGTTAAATTAAGATCCCTCACTATATAAAGCAATAAAGTTCTAAAACTTTAGAAAAAAAGTAATGAAATGTCTATCGGTAATGAGCCGTCTTTAATAATGCACACACCACCACCATAAAGTTACGTGTACATCCGACCTATAATATTCCTCGTTCATTACAAAAACTACAAAGTCACTGACAACATATCTTTAACACTATTATTAAAAAAAAAAAAAAGTTCTGGTTTATCCATTTCATTTATTTCCACACAAATAACAGAATCGATAATTGCTTTTTAATAACGGGGAAAATGTAAATCACAGCAGCGTACATTTTAGACAGTCGTTAAGATTCTCATGCACGCTCGTAAAGTGACAAGATCCGTGACCCGGTTAGCCGCTTCTTGTTTTTATTTTCCAGTTCCATTTTCTCCGCGATCGTGTCTGAACTCCCTAAATTTCCTAACGGCTTCGATGCCAACCAACCCTTTCATTTAAGCGTTGATTTCACACTTCTATAATGACAGCGGCCAATATCGTAGACGACTTTTACAGGTGTGTTAAACTTCATCGTATCTGTACAGGTCAGGTTTAGAACTAGACGGTGCACGTAATAAAGGTTCCCGCCAAAACCCGTAAAAAGCAGAGCAGCGATCATAGCAACAGCGGTGCCATTTGCGCCCGAACGTGATATAAATCATTCTCGAAACGAGTAATTAAAATGCTGGTGTACGCCCGAATCAGGCATTTCGAATTTACGCGGTAGGTAGGTAGTGAGGGACGCGAAAACACGAAAGTGATATTGCTGGCGTGGAGCGCGCAAATATGGAAATAGTGGGAAATTGCAATTGAAAAAATGTCGACCCCCGCAACGCCGCCTGCGGTTTTCGCACGCGATTTTTGCACGCCAATTTTGTATTGTACCTATTCACAAATTGCTGTGTCAGGGCACATTTTTAGATAAAGAACAGAAGCAAGTTGTTATTAAAAATGTTTGAAACAGTTTGTGCAACAACGCATCGGTATTTTACATAGGTAATTTATTTTTCGTAAAGGAAATAATTGTTTGATTTATTCTATTTAGTGCAAAACTTCACATCTGCTGTTATGGCTTCACGTTATTAGGCAACATGGGACATTGCTTTAATTTTGATATCAAAATAGCTATAAGGCCAACGACCCGTTCGCACGAGTGCATTCCACTCTCACCTTAGACGGACAAAACGTAATATAACTAAACGATATAAACATTATTTAATTATCTTCCATACATTCTATGCTTAGATTTTTTTTTAATTAGCAGACATTGTTTTGAGAAAGTAATATTTTATCATAAATTAGTTTATTAAAGTGATGATACACGTGCATTTAACACATTTGTGAAGTATTACGCCTTACGCCATCAAAAGTATTAACATTGATGAAATATTTTTTTATTAAAATAAGCCCTGGTAAATGAGAGAATAATTTAAAAAATAGTTTAGTTTTTAACTTCTTGCCACTTTCTCTCAGAGATATACGTAAACAAATTAATTTAAAATGATAATATTAAATATCAAAATATATGATAATATTAAATATAAATATAATATAAAAATCGAAAAAAAAATTTTTATGGCTCGTATTATATGATAAGCCATTTTTAATTCAATCACGCCACAAAACAAATTGTCCGAAAAAAGTTTACAACTGTCGTTTCCCGTCACCGTAAATCAAACATTATGCTTCCATAACTTCAATATGCCAATTAAAGTTAGTATAACGGCTACTTAAACGCTTCGTGGTAGAAGGTCGGTAAAGGTTGCGCCATAAAGTTTAGTTTAATGGCACCACTTACAGCGGGGGCTCCTCATAGATGTGGTCACGTGTCAAATTTCTGAACCAACTAGCAACAAAACAACCATAAGACATAAAAAAGCCACATAATTTTTTAGGTTATTGTTAAAGTTTCGCTATCAAAGTATCTTAAATAATTTTGTACTTTTAAATATCCTGTTACAACAAAACCACTCTCTGTATTTACAAAAAAAAGTAAAACATAAAGTAAAAAGTCACAAACATCTGCTGTCGTCGCTAACCGTCTTTCCACGATGAACCCATTATGAGCGCTCAGAGTGAACGTTACTTTTTTAAAGTAAATAACAACTTGCGGTCCATTAAAATGGAGTACGTGCGAAGGGCGGTTAAATGAGGGGATTTATTTATATTTATTGGGCCCAATTAAGCAAGCTCTACGTATCTAGTGCATCTGCACGCCGTGTAGACAGCGCTGCACATCGCGTGACTCGGAACGCAGAAATACTCGTGGTTCGCCTACCATATTCCAAATGATTGTGTTCAGCTTAGCTGCTCTCTTGTAGTCAAGCCGCGATGTTAATGGTTAATCGCTTTAAATGACATCCGCACAAAGTTCCTGCATGTGTCTACTTTTTATCCCGTAGACAAAGTCTATTTTCTATTTTGTCCAATCTGATATACCTACCGCGACGCCAAATGTAATTATCGCTACGACAGCTCTATTACCGACTGTAATAGAGTCAACATTGTATTAAATCGTTTGCTCCTTCGCGGATAGCTATCGATGAACGGCTAATAATTATAAAAGTTGTTGAGTAAAGAATATCATTCTCTTAATGGAAAAAATCGATTAACGTCATCCTCAATCCAGGCTTTGTTCGTTTATTACTTCCATTCTTTAGCTATGTGTACACCAAAGCGGTTATAACCGGAATGATTCGTTCGTCCAAAGGTTGTCTGGAAGAAATTACTTTTAATAAGGCCGCCCATTGTACTCATCATTTCTACATAAAGTTTTTGATTTTTGTTTATTTCATTTTTAGAGCGCAATTTATATTTTCATTCATACAATACTATGCTTAACAATTTGAGGTATTGTACGTAACTACATAATATGTACTACATAATACTACAACTACATAATACTAAGCTATCACGGCTCGTATTATATAAGCCGTGATGGCTCAGTTTTAGAGAATTCAGAACATCCTGTGTACAAATCTCAGTGCCGGCACAAGTGAAATTGTTAATTTCAATTTTAAGTGCTGACTTATCATGCACGGAGCGGAGCAAAACAAAATGTTGTTGAAATCTGCAGGTTTTCAAAATAATAACAAAAATATTTCTAACGTATGTGATGTCTGCCGATCCGCGGTGGTGCCGTGTGGTGGATACTATCCCCTAATACTCTCTGTACTAGAAGGCCCTTGACGTTGTTACTTGTCCCAAAAGGGAAAAATCCTACATTATGGATATCATTATAATTACAGATATATAACAAATTTTATTGTTAAAAAATAATAGTAGTTTTAAAGTAAAAAAAAAAATTTGCTTTATATCTTCCGATCGCTATTTTGATTCCTTACATCAATTTATTTTCCAAAGTATTGCTCTATAATACATATCTACATGTAACGTATAAACTATGATCGTCTCTAAAAATTTTTTTTTGTTTAAAACATCGTGCTGCCGTCCAGAATTTTTTTCTTTGTTAAAATCTTACGATGTATAAAACAGATTCACCCAGTTTAAAACGGCAGCCGGGGTAATCTTAAGGGTGCGAAGCGTTTACTTCCAATCCCTACTGCTTGCTATGCAGGGCGGCAACACCCGCCCTGATTTTTGCCCGATGTCGACACTGAGCTCGCAATGTATTAGTGGATTTAACGGCTACGGAATAAGACCCATGAAATGAACACTATGTGACGGGAATACCTTAAGAGCACAACACCGAAGCGATCCTATTA